AGTCATTTAAAAATATCTTATTTTGACAGACGACAGCGGAACTGCTTTGCGTGGCGTTAGTTTTACACGGACGCCGGCTATCACAGCGAGTAGCGTGGAGCAGCGGGAGGATGTAGGCGACGTCTGCTGACATCTGCACGCCAGCGGTTTCTTTCTCTCGGAGAGCCGAGGACGACAAACAACAACCGCGACGGCCTTGAAAGGACGCCCGGACTCATGTGACTGGTGGCCGAGGTAGGCGTCATGCTCTACCCACTGTTAATGATGTGAATCCAAATTGTTCGTAATTGTGTGTTGTTTTTTTGTCCAATATACAGAATTTGAATGTGATAGTAAACAAAATCTCTCGGAGAAGCCTGTTTTTGAAGGATACGTATAAAGTATGATATGGCTAAAATGGTCCCATCAAACCAAAATGGCGGACTTCCCGGGTCTTTTCAGGTATGGCTTATTAAGACTTTTTTTTGTATATTTACACATGATAGACATATCTCCCAAATTTTCTGTTGCTAAGTGAAACTAGCTTCGGGGACTGAATTTTCAGAAAATTTTGAGGTGGCTTCCGCCTCCTCCACCTCTAACAAACTCCATTTTCAGTAGGACGAACCTGAACACATACATATAGCACATTTGACAATAAAGTTGTATTCAATTCAATTCAAAATTCTGCCACTCCTCCTTAAAAATGATTTCTCTGCATGCTCTGGCCCGAAATAATCGTAATGAAACTTTACCCACTTTGTGTTTGCTTGAGGATGACAGCAACGGCATCCAGAACACCAGAGAACAAAGAGGCTTATTCAGCAGCCAGAGTCACACACGCTCTTCGATCACTATGGGAATTATAATAAGCAAGCAGACCAAGCAGCAGGGAATGTTTTAATCTTTTTATGGAACAAAAGGAAGGCGTTCCATTTCACAAGTCTCGGAGGAGTTCAACTGAGTGTGTCCTTCTGGCTGTCTATAATTCTGCTCCTTCTTTGTCCTTCACCTCCTTTGATGTCTTCTGCGTTGTCCTCAATTGAGGTTAGGCCCGTTTTAGCGAGTTGCAATAGCACAGATAAGGCAGTTGGGGGCACTATTGGGCACCGATGAGGTTTGTTTTGTGTTCAAAGCTTTGCAACCAAACACTTTGCCAGCTTCTCATATGTTGCTCTGTCATGGGGTTTACATTTTTAGTATTTCCATGTTTGTCATTAGCCTTCTTCGTGAGGCAATTTGGGCTACAGAAGTGTTTTTTTTTTCTGAAAAGAGGCTTTGGCCTTCGCTGCCATTTTGAATGAGGTGTCAGCACCCTTTCACACACCCTATTGAGTTTTACGGCGGAGATACATTGCATCTGCAGTCGGTCATCCTCATCAGCTTTGACATTTTTTTGGTGGTACATTTCTGTACACCAAAGATGCTGTCGCTTCTTCAATTGTGAATAATTTATTACTTTTGATCTCTTGTGTAATGCAAAATCTACACATCCCATAGCAAAAACGGATGACATGGCATAAAAGTCCATTTTTCATAAACACGTGCTCCGGATTAATTAATTCAATAAATCAATAAGCCGCTGAGGCCTGTTTGGTTTAATTACATACAATTTGGCAAGCATATCTACCACGAGCAGATTGACAAAAAAGTCCAAAGTAGCCATATCCGAAAGTAAAAGGGAAGCGTGTCCTTTCAGTTTGAAGGGGTCATTTTCAGGCTCGTTTGGGCCATTTCCAAGGAGCTTTCAAAGACAATTCCTCCAAGCCAGTTTCACTTAGCGCCACGAAATCTGGTCGGCACTTCTGTCATTCATTAGTAGACCCACAAAAAAAGTCTCAAGGAGCCATGCCTGAAAAGACACATGAAGGCTGCCATTTTGGTTTGCAGCAGCCCTCATCTGGCCATTTCAGAGGTCTTTAAAAGACAGTTATTAACTGCCACAAGATGAAGCTTATGGATTTGATCAATTTTTCTTCTTCTTTGCAGGCTATCATCCATCACCATCTTGAGCTGAAGGTGACCCGTTGGACCGGGCCGGGGGCTGCAACACAGGACACGGGTCGTGCCTTTCATCCCCTGCTCGTGTCTTGTGTTGCAGCCAGCGGCTCGGCCAGTCTGCATTGCTTCCAGTTCCTTCTTTTGACATCATTTCGTAAAGTAAAAGGTGACCACGCTTAGATTTCGTGGAAACTCTTATTTGCTCCAATTATTTTCCCCATAGGAAATCATGGAAAAAGTATTAAATGGATTGCATACATTTCCCTCCAATCGGAATGGCGCGAAGCATCATCTCCTGGTGATGCCATGGCAAAATTCACAATGTGGCAAAGCAAAACATGAGGACTAGCAAGGATAGTTTTGTTTGCCACGAATAGTTAGGTTATGAAAGTCTCACTATTCCTCGTTGTGACTGCAGTGTTCATGTTCCTGACAAGGTCAACAGTGACGAATGCATCTCCGAAGTCTTTTAAATGCTAAACCAGCCTTCAAATTTCATTGGAAGGACAAAGTTAGACATAAATGTTATACAAGAGTTAAAGTGAAGATGAAGTGCAGTGTGACCCGCTCACCTTGGACTGTCACTCCGCTTTGGCTGAATGACTCCGCTTGTCGCTTTGGACAGCCATGGAAAAATGATGTACGGTGTATTGTCTTTTTATACTAAGGTAGGACACACACACACACAAATGCTTGACAATAGACAAAGCAGGCTAAATTCTGCGCCTAGAAATTCGGTGAGAGTGCCACCTGGAATTTTGGCTTTAATATTCCCCCCAAAACTGTTTAACTTAGCAATGCAAAATTTGCTTTGTCTATTCGGAATAGACCGACCCGAAAAAATCTCAGGAAGGCACGTTTGAAAAAATCCAGGGAATATTTTGTGGCAGGTAATAGTTTTAAACTGTTTTCATATGTCAGTTTTTTTTTTTACTTTATGTACTGCACTTTGTATGCAACTGTGGTTGTTTTTAAAGTGCTCTAAAAATAAAATGGGAGTTGAAGAATGCTCTAAAACTCTGACGAACTCTACTTTGAAAACAACCGGGAGTGAACGCGTTCACGACTACCACGCCAGTCTGCCATCACCATAGCAACACCCTGACTTGGCTTCATAAAAAGGTGTTGGTCAACAAACCCACTAGATGGTGGTCTTGGCACCCCAAATTTTTCTTACTGCTGTAATTTAGAACCATCAAATGAACACACACCCCCTACATGACACCCAATAACAGCCTGAGCAATGACACAAGAGAAACAAGAGAGCTGTAAACTTGTGAAAGAACCCTTCAAGGCTTTCTTTGACACTCGACGCCTGGAGGAATGAGGTCAGCGCAGGGAAAGGGGAGGAAGAGGAGGGGAAGGAGAACGAGAAAATGAAAGAGGAGGTGAAAAAAAGAGGTTGGCGTGAGACCAAACAGTGCAGGTGTCCGCCTAACAACAACAGACCACGCCAGAGGAACTCAGTCCAGAATGAGCAGGATCTCGACTCTCCGGGGACGCAAAGCAAGCCGAGAATGGCAAACAAAACACAGGCACGCACACACGAATCAAGGCTGTTCTTATGTGTGCGTTACGTTGTTAATTCCTGCACTGCACAAAGGCATCCTTCAGTCCTACAAACATCAAAAATAAAAAAAAGCAACGTGACCTCACAATTGCCTAACAGCGTGTAAGATGGTAAGACAAATACATTTTGTATTATATTACCACTTGAAATTCGTTTTAAGATTTATGGATCAGAGAGAAAGGTACAAAGGTAAACCAGCTCATAAAAACACGCCTTGACAATAATAGTGAAGAGATAATGATGATGCAATCCACTGGGAATTTGTGTATTTGCCATCAATGACGTCTAATTGAATAAAACTGAATAATGATTTCCAAACAATGTGTCAATGAAATCATCGGGTGTGCAGTGGGAAATAATCCAATTTCCAAAAAGTATTTAGTCCAGAAAATGGCCATCAATCTATGCTGCCGTCGTATAGTGACAGGCAAAAATATTTTGATCTCTTCCACAATATGGCAGAAAGTCCATAATTAACTCATGTATCTACTTTTTTCGTTTTTACAATTTTGTTTTGTAGTGTGCCTGAGATATTTCTTTCTAATGTAATATATGTGCTCTGGTTAAGAAAAAAAACGGTTGGGGAAACAAGGCTCGACAACACCTGTTTGTTTAATTATTAGTTTAACGATTAGTACTGATTTATGACAAGTTGTCAAATGTCAGATGAGCTAACAGGTTAGCACCAAAGTTCTACGTCAAGCTAACGTGACAGGAGGCGTCCTTTCCGGAAGTGATGTTAGGGAAGTATCTTTGTTATTTTTTTTTCTGCGATTTTATGAAAAATTCACGAATCAGACTAAGAACAATTAATTGTTCGTTTTAAAATCATAGTTAACTTTTTCACCATACGACTCTTTTAAAAGTCATAATTTTATCGGTTAAAATTTAAAAAGGAACAACCAACGTGTAATTTATGCTATTGCATTCTCTTGGGAAAGAAAGTCACGTGTAATTTATTTTGGGGCTTTTTTTTTTAACGATATGTTGTAGTGTCTTTTTTTTTAATGATTTCTATTTTTTCCTGCTTTGGGGAACTTTTTCTAGTTCAATTTGAGGTATTTTTGTTATTTTGCTTTGAAATGGTTTTTTTTTCTCAATATTTTTTTCCGTTTTTCTGAATATCTCTACACGATAATACTGTAAAAACAGAACAAATAATGAAAAAGAAAATATTTTCCATAAAATAGAAACAATTATCCCATACAACCGAAAAAATATTTTGAAGAAGAGCTTCAAACAGTAAACGAATAAAAAAAGTAAACAGAGGCTGAAAAAAATACTCAGAGTAAATTTGTATTTTTTTTCAACCACGTGAGTGTACACTTTTGTACGATTTACATTCGATTCGAAGCAAAAACAAGGCTTAAAAGAAAAAAAAAAGTCATTTAAAAATATCTTATTTTGACAGACGACAGCGGAACTGCTTTGCGTGGCGTTAGTTTTACACGGACGCCGGCTATCACAGCGAGTAGCGTGGAGCAGCGGGAGGATGTAGGCGACGTCTGCTGACATCTGCACGCCAGCGGTTTCTTTCTCTCGGAGAGCCGAGGACGACAAACAACAACCGCGACGGCCTTGAAAGGACGCCCGGACTCATGTGACTGGTGGCCGAGGTAGGCGACGTCGACATGTTTGTTTTCTCGAAAAAATGCTTCGTGTCCTCCCTCCTCGAGCAGAGAAGCAGAGGTGGCAAAACTCTCACTGTCTTGAAGTAGAAAGTTAAAAAAGAAAAAAAAAATACCCTGGTAAAAGTAGAAGTAGTGCTTCGAGTCGTGTACTTGATTAAAAGCTAAAAAGTATAGCCTCTGAAATGTCCCGAAGTACAATAAAACAAAATTTATATATATATATATATATGTATGTATGTATGTGTGTATGTATATATATACATTCACTTTTACAAACAGTCCAAAATTTGCCTCATTGTGTCATATATATATATATATATATATGTATTTGCATGTATATATATTTTTTTAATCTGGGAATTAAAAAATGTAGATTAAAACATATTGGTTAGATTATTACTTTTTTAAATTGACTGCAGCTTGCATTGAGAAGTACCTAAAAATCATTGGACACGGTCAAACATGTTTCTATATCTTCTTTGCTAACATTAAAATGTTAGATACAAGAATAAAAGCTGACGAAAACAGAACACACATTTGTTTGATCAGATTCGACAGATAAACTGGTGTTTTTTTTCGTCTGACATGACACATTGGCCGCAATTTTTTTCTTGCCGAAAAAAGGTCACAGATCGGGAATATCTTGCATCTTCGAATCTGTTGAAGACCCTGTAAATGGAATTCGGACATTTATTTTGAAATACTCATCTTTGAACGTAATCCCTGAAAATATGAAAAGACTAAAAACTATGTAGTAGTGAATTGTGGAGATTGCGCCAATCTGTATAATTGTCAAGTTTCTGAATTTTGGGGGTGGGGCTTTGGGAATGAATTGCCCCTCCCCCAATATGTAAACAGATATATTTCTGCGTCTGTTTTTCACAGCGGCTCGATGAAGTCGTACCCATATTTTTAGTAAAATCTCAATTTGTCAATCACAATCTAATCTATGGTTGACTTTACGTCTTTCTATTTGCGTTGTTTTCTTTTTACACAATTTCATCAAAAGTGTTCGGTCAAAAGTAACAAGCCATTTTGACAAAGTAAGGCGTTGAAAATACAGTTTTCAAATGTCAGAACCTCGAGAGTATTTGTACATGGTTACTTCCCACTACTGAAAACTCTCATCTGCCGCGCTCCAGTGCTAATTAAGTGATTCCGTTTGAGTTTGGATGAAGATGTCATTCGTTGTGTACATATCTTTTATTTACACCGTTATGTGTGTTAAACCAGGTGGCAGGGGTCTCAAAATAGATATGAGATTTAATTTTTAATACAGTTTTGCCGGGGGAGCAAATGGTTGACTTTTTGAAGTTGCTGCTTTGCTCTGCTCTGTGGCAAGCTGCTGGCTGCACCGAAGGCCCAATGAGGAAATGAGCCGTGTCCTTTATTAAAAGGCAGCGCATGCAGCCGCACGCCAACTCGCAGCTGATAAATCTTTACTACAATAACTCCATGAGCAGCCTGCTACAACGTGTGGAAACCACACCACGGTGAACGCATCGGTCAGGACCAAACATAAACGGACAAACAGTGAAAGAAAACAAGGGCCTCCTGGATTTACTTATTGGCATGTTATGAAATGCTTAAAAAAAAAAAATATATATATATATATATATATATATATATATATACCGGTATATATATCTGAGCTACCGGTCTTTCTCTATCCAAACACATGCTTCTGTGTGTGACGACAGTGGGGAAAAAAAACATGATATCACACCATTTTAATCACATTTATCGATAATTACAAAGATATTTTTATGAAGTGTTTTCATCAGAGATGCAAGTCAACTTTTGTAGATTATTTTTTTGCACAAATTTGCCTTCATTTTTTTTTCTCGAGCACATCAGGTTTTCATAATAATAATAATAATAATAATATAAGGAGGAGAACGAGGAGCAACTATGTTTACTACTCGGTGTGTTAAAAAAGGACCGCAGCGAAGTGGACACTGTGTAACACATAATGGTTCAAAAACGCCATGAAAGTAGCCAGTTCCATGCCTGAAAATGGGAAAACACTAATGAGCGACTAGCAGCGGTTGTGGTATCTGCTCTACATCAAAGAAAAAAAAAAAAACTTTTTAGAAAAAGTTTTATTTTGGGAACATTCACCACTAATTGAAAGTGGGGAATTCTGGAGAGCGAGGGAAGGATTTAGACTGCATCTCAAGTTCTCAGTGGGGCTGGCAGCTATTGGATGTTGAAAGGTGTCACCAATCAAAGGGCCTTTTTGTCCTCTGGCATCTCCGTTTTGTAACCTCGAGATGCCTCAAGCTCCCTGGCGGGGGTCCAACATGGCTTTCTTCCTGTTTCCTCCAAATAATCTGCCAAGCACGTGATACAGTGGATGCCTTCACGGTATCAGAAATGCAAAGCTAAGGAGAAAAATGATAACAACGGCCATAGAACGAACAAGAAGATGAATTTGAAGCTCACCACTTCAAAATCGTCACCCAATCCAAATTTTGGTTTTAATTGATTTTTTTTTTTTTTTTGCCTCTTCGATAAACAGGAGAAAGAAAATGAGAATTTCTCAAAATGTTGAAAAAGTGGCCTGACTGTAGGTGTCCTGGAAACCAATCATATTCGTTCAATATGTCACCCCTCAAAACTTGGGCTGTCTCACGCAGGATTTCCTCTCCCCCGAGCTGGCTGCCATGAGGGGCCGCTGCTCGCACAAACTGGGTGTGCTGGCCAAGGCGTTCTTCCTGGTGTGGCTGTTGTGGCTGGGGTATCTCCTCCTTGTCCTCTCCCCCTCCTCCTCGTCATCCTCCGGCGACACGCTGGAGCTGGAGCGTCGGAAACTCGACGTGGTCGAGCCGGACGTGGGGAACCTGGCCAAGCCCCTTTACGCCAAGCCGGCGGCGGACGGCAACGCGCCGGGGGAGTGGGGCCGCTCGGCGGGCCTCAAACTGAGCCCGGAGGAGAAGGCACAGGCGGAGGACAGCGTGGAGCGCTACGCCATCAATATTTTTGTCAGCGACAAGATTTCCCTCCACAGACATATCAAAGACAACAGGATGCCCGAGTGAGTGGGAAGGTTTTTCAGCCGATCTCAATGCATTGATTTTGAACAAAATGAACAATTTGGTGGGAGCCAGGGGTGATAAATCCCCAAAGTAAAAACGGTGACAGATGTCAAACTCCGGTCCTCGAGGGGCCACTATCCTGCATGTTTTAAATTTTTCCCTCCTCCAACACATCATCTACCCCCGTCCCCCCCCCCCCCCCCCCCCCCCCCCAAAAAAATGCTGTTGAATTTGTGGTATTTTCTCATCACAACCGATATAACCTCACAACCCATAAAAAAATTTCAACTAATCCTTTAGATCAGGGGTGTCAAACTCATTTTTGGCGCGGGCCACATTTTAGTTTCACTTGGAGGGCCGTTATGACTGAAACCATATAAAAAAGTCAAGAATAACTTGATTTAACTATTGTTTAAGTTACTATCATGAGGGGTTTGGTCACAAGAAAATGCTTAGAATATATCTCTTATTTATTACATATGAGAATAGAAAATTTTGGTCGACATTTTAGCTTTGGCGGGCCACATAAAATGATGTGGCGGGCCAGATCTGGCCCCCGGGCCTTGTGTTTGTGCTTTAGATGGTTGAATCATAACGCAAACATCTACATTCCATTTGATCCTATTCAATAGTCTTTGAGTTGAACTTGATTTTCAGGTATTGCCATGTGACCAAAACAAGAACTGAGTTGCGTTTGATAACAAAGATAGTTGATCTCCTTTTGTTGTTCTGGGATGTTTTTTTTGTGAGCTCTGCCGTGGTATGCTGCTCCGTACCACCTTCTTTACGACTGCACCTAATGGCTGCCATCTGGATGCAGAACGAGACGGCGTGCAAATAACATTTTGTAATTTCCCCCTCGGCACCCCCCCCCTGAAAATTTTTTAAAAAATAAACGTGTCATCAGATGCCGCAGTAAGCAGTTTGACTACCGCCGTTTGCCCACCACCTCTGTCATCATCGCCTTCTACAACGAGGCCTGGTCCACACTGCTCAGGACCGTCCACAGCGTTCTGGAGAGCACGCCCGACATCCTGCTCAAGGAGGTGATCCTCATCGATGACTACAGTGACAGAGGTGGGAGGAAAATTGGCATAAAAAGTCTCCGTAAGCCAGATAAATGCACGCTCCAAGTGTATTTGCTTTATGCTAAAAATAAAACCTGCCATTCCGTTGCCCGTTGAATTCTGAACAAAAATCAAGAGGGGCATTTGTGAATTGAAATGAATTCCAAATGTAATTTTAATTAACAAGGGGAAAAAAATGAAATCAAGATGTGTTGACATGTTGGTATGTGGTTTAGAGGTAAGATCTAAAGCCTTTCGGGTCGGGCCTAAAATGTCAATCATTGCTTCGGGTCGGGCCGGGGTTCTCTCTGACTTTTTAAAAAAAAAATATCACTGTGATGTTGCTACCCAAACATCACAGTGCGCTGAGGCGTTTCGAGGCCGTGAAAAGTTTTGGCCACGAGAGACCGTGGTTCGCAAAAAAACAGAAGTCGCCTCATCACTACACGTACTGTACTGTACTAAACTCTTGCAATGACAATTCAAATAACTCCTTTCTGTCTTTGTCTATTATCCACCCGTCATTGTTCTTCTTTGTCTCTCTGCTTCTCTCTCTTAACTCATTCACTCCCAAAGACGTTTTTAAACGTCTTTTCAGACTTGGTCCAGAATTGACTGGTACTGAATGAGTTAAAAGTGCCGCGCTAGATTCTTAAGGACGTACTGCTGCTGTGGTTAATGGCCCAATTTTCAACCCGTCAAAATGACGGACGGCCTTAAATTTTCCCCGTCAACTCTTCAAAAAAAATCCGTCAATGATGGAAAATTGTCGGTTAATGTACCCTCTGCAGAAACAGAAATATAAAAGATGAAAATGTTTATACAGTCTTGTTTAACTTTAAATCACCCCTCCTCCTCCCGAGTCCTCACAAATAAAATATGAAATTTCGGGTTTGCTTCGGGCTCGGGCCTACAAATGAAGTTAATTGGTCGGGCTCGGGCCGAGTCGGGCTTTAATACCCGCGGGCCGGGTCGGGTTGGGCTGGATTTTTTGGGTCCGATCTTACCTCTAATGTGGTTAGTCATATCCATCCATTGAAATATTGTCTAATTATTATGCTACCGTAATATTTGTACACTCCGTGCTCAGTTGGATGTAAAATATTGGCACGGATAGCGATATATAATGAAATATTGATGAATTGTAGCAGATCCAATACACATCAAACCGATGCTGATCTGCATATACATGTACTAACATATTACACACCCAAAATGTTGAAAGAGCCATATTGGACCAAAATAAACAAAAACCCAATATGTCTGGAGCCGCAAATAAATAAAAAGCCTTATAATGAAGGCAGCACGTGCTGTATGTATCTATATGAGCTATACTAGCCTGCTATCAACATAACTAAGTTGGCTCCAAATGCACAACGAGCATTCATGATTAAAAGTATTTTTTTTTTCCCCTGCAGTTCATCCTGTAGAGGAGGAGTGCCCAAGTACCCTCGGTGAATTGTACATGAAGGGCAGCTGTTTTTTTTTTTGTTTTTTTTTTACAACAGCCCCGACTGGCATCCCGCCCTGCTAATAGAAACGTGTGTCGCAGGCTCTGACGCAAATATTCGTTGATGAAATGTTGACATTTAATATTTATTAGACACATTTTTACAGCATCGGAAAACGTTAATAATGTTTGTGTCATGTTTGTCCTCTGACAGAAACCATATTAAAACAACAAAATATATTTCCCATGTTTTTCCATTTTCAAACATTTTTGAAAAAGCTCTAGGGAGCCACTGGGGGGGGGGGGGCGCTAAAGAGCCGCATGCGGCTCGAGAGCCGCGTGTTGCCGACCCCCGGTCTATAAGTAACCTTTGTTTCATGTTTGGCTTTGTTTTTTTTCAAGGCTACCTAAAAACCCAGCTGGCCAAATACCTCAGTAAACTGCAGCGCGTTCGTCTCATCCGCACCATCAAACGCGAGGGCCTCGTCCGGGCCCGTCTCATCGGCGCCAGCTACTCCACCGGCGACGTGCTCACTTTCCTGGATTGCCACTGCGAGTGCGTACCCGGTTGGATCGAGCCCCTGCTGGAGAGGTGGGTCCACGTATCCCATTGGACGATTTCAAATGCCGTCTATAGCCAATTCATCGTTACAGCAAGCAGCAGACAGTCAACAAGTCTCTCTTTTTGATGAACTCTCAATTTGTGAACTTAATAGGGATGCCACGAAAACAGATTTGAATGGCAAATCGGTTCTGGTCTCACCTATGGTTTGCTGTTTTTCAAGGATCGAGCAGAACCCCCACACCATCGTGTGCCCCGTCATCGATACCATCGACTGGAACACCTTTGAGTTCTACATGCAGCCGGAGGAGCCCATGATCGGGGGCTTTGACTGGAGGCTCACTTTCCAGTGGCACGCCGTGCCCGAGCGGGAACGCCAGCGCCGCAAGTCGCACATCGAACCTCTGAGGTGACTTTTGTTCGTGTGATGTAGGCTAACTTGGCTCGCTGGTATCTCAAGGCACCGGTGTACTTCGAACCATCGCCATGACTCTTGTCCTTGCTAGGTCCCCGACGATGGCGGGCGGCTTGTTTGCGGTCAGCAAGGCCTACTTTGAGCAACTGGGCACCTACGACACGGGCATGGAAGTGTGGGGCGGAGAGAACCTGGAGCTCTCCTTTCGGGTCAGCGCCGCCTCCCGACCGGCGCTACAGCCAATTGCCGTGCGGTCGGTGTTAGTTTCTCAAGGCTCTGGCGTGTGCGTCATCCTCAGGTGTGGCAGTGCGGCGGCAGCCTGGAGATCCACCCCTGCTCTCACGTGGGCCACGTGTTCCCCAAGAAGGCTCCGTACGCTCGGCCTAACTTCCTGCAGAACACGGTGCGGGCCGCCGAGGTCTGGATGGACGACTACAAGCAGCACTTCTACAAAAGGAACCCGCCCGCAAAAAAGGTGCGCAACCACCAGCAGGAACGTAGCCAGAAAAGGTTCAAATAGGGGAAGACCACCCTGAACTCTCTGGCGGACCGCCGGACACATTATTTTACACTAAGTGGGAATTTTCGGTTTTCTAGAAGACGTTGAGCTCACAAAGAATGACTTTGTTTGCGTAAACGGTTTGCACAGCGGCCGATTATAATCGGTCAATGGACAAGGAATGCTAATGCTAAAAACAAAGCTAACTCAATTGGCTTTCGAGAGCACTTTAAAAGCAACAGCCGCTCAAACAAAGCGCTGTACTTGAATAACAATGAATAACAATTCCTAAATAACAAACAGAGAGGCCATTTTGAGATTTGAAAACAAATGGCAGAATCTTAAGGTGAAGTCTCAGGCACACAGGCAGTTAGTGACGTGCTCCCGCTTACGTGTTCCAGTTAAAAGGTGAACAAAGAAAAGAAATCCAAACAGATAAAAGAACATTTTAAAATAAAATCATAAATTAATGAATCAATCAATTATACAGTCGTAAAAGTATAAAATAACAAGCAGTGAACAAAAGTTTAAAAAATAACAAATATAAGATATAAGAGTGAAATAATGCCAATTAAATCATAAAATAACAAATAAAAGAATATCCTTGACCGTTCGTGGTATTAATAATTTCATTAAAAAAAATAAAAAAAAAAAAATTTAAAAGCGTTCACATCCAAAAACCAAAACATGAGCAGGAATTCCAAGTCATTCATTCCTACATTTGGCCGACATGACAAGTCATACTTTGGACATTAAGGGTGGGCTATTTTTTGCTTTACCAATTTTAGTCAGTCATACTTCCACTCTGACAGGCAAAGCATGTGTGGCGAACCACTTCCTCATTCCCGCAGTGTGCAAGTACACAAAAAGGGGCGCCGTTCATCAAAAGCAAACGAGATAACCGTCGCTCCATTTCGAGTGTGTGTGTACGCAAAATGTTGACACTGCGAGCATCTGGCAGGTGGCAGCTCCACACCTTTTCAAACACGTCCATGTTGGATATTTACACAGGCTCATCGCACCAGTTGCTCAACGTACACTTCAACTTCACTTCAGCTGAAATGTATCACAAAGGAATTGTTGTTTATGATGATGATGATGATGATGATGATGGTATTTTGGACCTGACAGGAGAACTACGGCGACATTTCAGAGCGCCTTCAGCTCCGAGAGCGGCTGCAGTGCAAGTCTTTCCAATGGTACCTGACCAATATTTACCCGGACCTGCACGTACCCGAAGACAGGGAGGGCTGGCACGGAGCTGTGAGTAGCCCCGCCCAAAAATAATTTCACCCGTTTGGAATTTGTTCCTGTGAAATATGTCGGAATTAGCTTGCCCAGATCACAATTTTGATTGATTTTTTTTTTTGTTTTGTTTTTGGTCCTCCGATGAAGGTGCGCAGCTCGGGAATCCGCTCGGAATGTCTGGACTACAACGCCCCGGATCACAATCCCACCGACTCGTACCTCTCGCTGTTCGGCTGTCACGGTCAAGGAGGCAACCAGGTGATGCTCATTTTTTTACCTTCGCCGAGGCCAAAAGATATCTTTTTGGATTTTGATAAAGTGATTGGGCCAGTTAGCTGGATTGACAGCTAGCAAATGGGCCATTTAAAAAAAAAAAAAAATCATTACATTTTCGTCACTTATGTTGTTATTGTATATATTTGTACATTCAACACGAACCAATTTTGGTTCGAAAAGGTGAACGGTATTTCAATGTACGATTTTGTATGGTGGAACTAAAGTGTCTGGCACTTGCTTGCCTCTGTATCTCAGTACTTTGAGTACACATCCCGGAAGGAAATACGATTCAACTCTGTGACGGAGCTGTGCGCCGAAGTGCCCGAGGGCCAGACGGCCATCGGCATGAGGCAGTGCCCCGGCGACCGCGACGCCACGCCGGCGTCAGTCACTTGGGACTTTCGAGACGTAAGCGCTGGGCCTCCTCTCACAATTGTCCATCTCTCTCTTGATCTCTCATTCCACCTTGTTTGGTTTTGTTTCCCTCCCACCAGGACAAAAGCATCTACCATCCCCAGTCGAACAAGTGCATCGCGGCCTACCGCACCCCCGAGGGCCGCGCCGATGTCCAGATGAGGCCCTGTGACCCACTTGATCAAAACCAGCACTGGAAGTTTGAGTGGTAGACGCCGGAGGGTAAAGCAGCTCTCTCTCTCTCTCTCTCTCTCTCTCTCTGTGTGTCTCTCTCTCTCTCTCTCTCTCTCTCTCTCTCTCTCTCTCTCTCTCTCAACTATCGAGGGAAATAAGAGGATTCCCTCTCGTTTAGTGATGTTGTTTTTTTTCTGCCCCCGTGTGCTGCAGCAATGGAAAATGCTGACATTCAGCCGCTGCGTAGCATAGAAGTGCCTCTGGAAAACTGACAAGCTCACAAAGTGCTCGCCTGCACTACTCCAAACCAGCAGAGGGGGCCACCTGAGGCAAAACAAACAAAAAAAAACATTACTTCCAGTGTTGCCACTGAGAAAACGTTTTGTCAGTCCGTCCATACATCCATTTTCTGATCCGCTTTTCCTCACAAACTGGAGCCTATACTAGCTGTCTTCAGGCAGTTGGCAGGGGACACTGAACTGGTTGCCGGCCAATCGCAGGGCACACATGGACGAACAGCCATTCGTGGTCACACAAACATCTCGGCACAATTTAGTGTTCCATTAACCTGCCATACATGTTTTTGGAATGCGGGGGGAAACCGGAGTACCCGGAGAAAACCCACGCAGACACTGGGAGAACATGCAAACTCCACGCAGGAAGGCCGCAGCCAGAATCAAACCCTGCACCTCTGCACTGTGAGGCCGACGTGCTAACCAGCTGCCCGTTTTGTCCATGAATAGCGAAAATCCACATAAAATAGACGCCTATTGTAAATGCATTGTGAAAAGCTAATTTGAGTATTTTTTAAAAATCCCCCTCAAAAAAATGTATTGAAAAAAAACAATGAAGATAAACCACCAATAAGCACCCCCCCCCCCAAAAAAAAAACCCTGTGTGTATACAGTCAAACCTCGGTTTTCGAACGTCTTGGTTCTCGACCAATTCGGTTTTCCACCAAAAATTTCGAGTTTTTTATGCCTCGGATGACGAACAAATTTCGGTTCTCGAACAAACTGATCAGGATTCAATGCACTATTTGACTCCTCCTTCCTTACACAAGGAAGTGACGCTTCCTCGGGTGGACGAGGAAGTGACGCTTCCTCGTGTTGCTTTCCATTGTGAGCAGACGTGCCGTTCAGTAAACATTTTTATTTTAAAAAGAGCGTGGTTTCGGTTTTCAAACAATTTCGGTTTTCGAACAGCCTTCTGGAACGGATTATGGATGAAAACCGAGGTTTGACTGTGTGTGTGTGTGTGTAATTTACAGGAAAAGTACTTTTTAAAAAAATAATATATACAATACAATACATGCTGATTTATATCGCGCTTTCATAACAGCGCCTAATTTCGTCACCTATCAGCCTTTGGAACCCTGCCCGCCTGATGTCGTGTCCAAAAAGGAAGCAGCGCCTTTTTTAATGTTGAAAAAATACTGAAGTGGTAAAGGTGGTGGTCTTGCTCTAAGGCAGCTGTTTCCTGACATCACATGAGTGGGAGCAGAAACATTCGCGTACTGACCATTCCACATTTTTAACACTAATAAGTGCAATTTTTTTCCTGGGAGAATGATCCGGACTGAATCTCTGTGCCTTTTTGAAAGGATGCCAGCCTCTTGAGATTTCATGCCTTTTCAATGTGATTAACGACAACATGACTGTTGGATGACTTAAGTCGCTGTTTGACTTGAAACTCGACTCTGTTGGACGTTATCATGTCTGACTATACTTGAAGTAGATATTAAAAAAAAAGAAAAACGGAAAAATGACAGGTGGCTTTTGTTTGAAATATTGTTGTCGATTTTGAGGGACAACCTTGATGTAAGCACTCTTGAAACTACTGATGCAATGCAGGGATTACTTGATTTTAAGGGAAGGAATTAAAAACTTTTAATGATTGCAATTGTCTTCTTTGATACTCGGGTCAACTTTGCAAATGCGAGAACGCCCCCTGGTGGAAAAACAAACGAGATGTCACATTGATTATACTGTATTTGTAGTTTCTTACTGTTATTACCACTAATCCTTATTCCTGGCCGGGTGGTATATTTATTAGTTATACACGACTCTTACACTGCCATTAAAAAAATAATTTAGCATGAAACGTGATGATCTCTCTCTCTCTCTCTCTCTCTCTCTCTCTCTCTCTCTCTCTCTCTATATATATATATATATATACAGTATATGCTAAAATACAATATTTTACAAATACGAATTTACTATTGTAATATTTACCCAATTGAGGCAAATATTCGAACCCATAAAAGCTTGAAAACAAATTAATAAGTATTTACTAATAATTAAACTACAACGAGGTCATATTATAGACACCAAAACTAATAAAATTAATTCAAGGTCAGTTCTATTTTGAAAATACACCCAGAATTGAAGCACTAAAAATTGAAAAAAAAAAGAAAAGAAAGCGATTTGAATACAGTAGTTGAGAGATGTTTTGAAATGGGAAACGTTTACAAAACGACGGAAATCAGTATTTGTGCTTTTTACAGGATGTGTTTCAAAATAAGTCCAAAACAGAAATCAATACAAAATGTAAGTAAAGCCAGTGTGACTACAAAGAGACCAAGAATCTCCTTATAACCAACCTAGGTGACTAATCCGGGTAAATAAATAATCCCTGTCGACTAATCCATTTATATTCGTCTCTTGGTTCGAATGAATGGTGTCATGTCGGTGTGAGGAGCGGAGCAAGGAGGAGGAGTAAAAGCGCTTTCAATGAAGCTGCAATTAGTGCCTGGGCGGCGGGCCAAATGACTCCAGTCCCTCAAGCGAATGTAGAACCCGAGTCTTAGCCAGACCGGCGAACGCCTCGCTCGGTTGAAGCCACGACATGGCCGTCTATCAGCGGAAGCGACTCAAACTTTTCCTCGGCGGCGCTGCCTTCTTGGCCTTTCTTTTCATCTACTTGCGGGACTTCCCCGAAGAACTCGACCTTCCCGCCGCCACTAAAGAGCCTCGCGAGGCGCACGAGCCGGACCCGAGGAGACCGGTGTACGAGAAACCCCCGTCGGACCCGAACGCCCCCGGCGCACTGGGCAAGCCCGTGAAGTTAACGCTGAACGCCGAGGAGAAGCGAAAGGAGGAAGAGAGCATCTCCAAGCATAAACTCAACATCTACGTCAGTGATATGATCTCACTGCATCGACGCCTGCCTGAGAGGCGGAACCCGCTGTGAGTATGTCATCCAGCAAACGACGCGCGTAGAGTGGCAACGACTCATCTCGATTTCTTAATTCAACTCAACGCAACTTTCACAAAAAGATACACCTGTAACAAACCGTGTCACACATCACACGACATAAATGAACAACAACAACAAAAAAAAATTATAATACAATGGAACTTAACAAATCGTCAAAACAATGCCCAGTGTCATGCTGAGTCAAAAGCCTTTTCGATGCTGAAAGTCAAGCATGCACTCTTGTGCAATCTGCTATGAACCTCGTCCATCCTGAGAGTCACGTATTTATACCCCAACATTTCTATTGTGGGAATGTTGCCACTCAAGCATCCACATCCACATGCTGGGAGTCATGCGTTCACATAAAAACATATTTTGTTTGTGTCAATGCCAAACGTCAAGCATTCACACCGACACTTGTCCTTCTTTGACGCTTGTCACACTTACACTTGTCTTTCTTTCTCTTGTCTGAATACCGAATCTTGCATTCACTTGAAAACTTGCTTTGTGTGCGTGCGCCATTAACTTTCTCAATGCTGAGAGTCCGCCAGTTATTCGAAAACTTTCGATTGTGTGAATGCTGCAATTCCAGTATTTGCACAATACGCGACGGTGTATCTTGCCAGTGCTGAAAGTCAAGCATTCACACTTTTTTTTTCCCATTTTCCTCTTGTGCGAATGCTGGGAGTCAATTTTGCGCACCCCCCCCAATAAATAAATAAATGTGTGGATGTGATGGTGAAACATGCCCTGAGAGTTGAACAGTTTTTTTATTTTGTATGGACTTCCCTTTTTCTGAATGTTGAGAGTCAAACATTCACATAGTGTGATGTGCCACTAAAGTCAAACATTTACATAAAAACTTCTCCACTTCCCTAGCTGTTTGAATGCTGAGTGTCAATCATTCCAACTTTCTTTCTTTTTTTAATTTTTTTTTTATTTTATTTTTTTTATGTTGCTGTGCACCAAAAATATGAAAGAGGAGAGTCAAGCATTCGTACAATACGAACATCCATATTTGGTCTGGTTATATCAACCCCCCCCAATAAATAAATAAATGTGTGGATGTGATGGTGAAACATGCCCTGAGAGTTGAACAGTTTTTTTATTTTGTATGGACTTCCCTTTTTCTGAATGTTGAGAGTCAAACATTCACATCGTGTGATGTGCCACTAAAGTCAAACATTTACATAAAAACTTCTCCACTTCCCTTACTGTTTGAATGCTGAGTGTCAATCATTCCATCTTTCTTTTTTTTTTTTTTTTTATGTTGCTGTGCACTAAAAATATGAAAGAGGAGAGTCAAGCATTCGGACAATACGAACATCCATATTTGGTCTGGTTATATCAACGATACACAATGATGTTGTTTTTTTTGTTGTTGTTTTGTCTCCTCGCTGACATTTGCGTCGAACCGCAACTGTGATGCCATCGCAGCTGCCGTGACGTGCGTTACGACTACCGCTCCCTGCCGACCACTTCGGTGGTGATTGCCGTCTACAACGAAGCCTGGTCCACCCTGCTCAGGACGGTCCACAGCGTTCTGGAGACGTCACCCGACATCCTGCTCAAGGAGCTGATCCTCGTTGACGACTACAGCGACCAAGGTGAAACAGCCACCCGTCGTAAGCTCGTTCCCAAGCTCTGAAAAGTCTTCGCAACCCCTGTTTCGATCACGTCATCTGACAAAACTCTAGACTAATTGCCCGACATCCGCCTCAACCTGTTGTGCAAGCTCAACAGTAAAGCTGAAGCAATTACCAAGGTGTTATTAAAATTAAAGTCACATGACTGCTTTATGACTGTTTTTTTTTTTGTTTTTTTTTTTGTCACACGCATGCCATCACAGGTGTGTCGGTGCGTTGGTTCCGTAGCAGTCGACAAAATGAAAATACACGGTTGGGTGTGCAGTGAACATTGCAAGAGTTTCGATTTTGAAAACTAATCTAATTGCGATTTTTGATATTACGATTGCAGTTTAATATGCGGTAATTTTTTTTGAATGTCCCCTTCCCGTGTATTTTTTTTTTTTAACATATACAAACTCTAAATTCATCTGCATTACAATCAGTTGTCTACTGCAGTCAGAGTTGTCAAGCAACTAAACCCTTTGACTCGCAGTCTTTAATGCGTTTAGTAAGACAGTAAATCATAAAGCAGATGACAACACCAATGTGAACGAGAGGCGCAACGACTTTGTTTATTTCTGAAGCCCACTTGAAGGAGCCTTTGGAGAAGTACTTGTCCGGCTTGCGGAAGGTGCGTCTGATCCGTGCCACCAAGCGGGAGGGCCTGGTGCGAGCCCGCCTGCTGGGGGCCTCGTTCAGCACTGGCGACGTACTGACTTTCCTGGATTGCCACTGCGAGTGCCACGAAGGCTGGTTGGAGCCTCTTCTCCAAAGGTACTGGACACGATTCACCAGTGCTATTTTTTTTTTTTTTGCTGATGAATCCATGTATCGTATTCTGTATTCTGTGATTTTTTTATTTCCGAAATCAAGTTGTGTGTTATCAACTGGAAATTTTGGGAAGCAAACCCTCATGCATCGCACCCTCCAGGGTCAAGGAGGAGCCGACGGCCGTGGTGTGTCCCATCGTCGACTCCATCAAGTGGGACACTTTTGAATATTTGGGCAACGCGGGCGACCCTCAAATTGGCGGCTTCGACTGGAACATGGTCTTCAGGTGGAACCATATCCCAGATCATGAGAAGAAACGGCGCAGGTCACCCATCGATGTCATCAGGTACTTTTGCCCCCCCCCAAAAAAAGCAGAAATGCCGTCCTGGGCGGGCCACGAAGGCTGGTTGGAGCCTCTTCTCCAAAGGTACTGGACACTATTCACCAGCGTTATTTTATTTTATTTTTTGCTTATGAATCCATGTATAGTATTCTGTGACTTTTTTATTTCCGAAATCAAGTTGTGTGTTATCAATTGGAAATTTTAGCAAACAAACCCTCATGCCTCGCACCCTCCAGGATCAAGGAGGAGCCGACGGCCGTGGTGTGTCCCATCGTCGACTCCATCAAGTGGGACACTTTTGAATATTTGGGCAACGCGGGCGACCCTCAAATTGGCGGCTTCGACTGGAACATGGTCTTCAGGTGGAACCATATCCCAGATCATGAGAAGAAACGGCGCAGGTCACCCATCGATGTCATCAGGTACTTTTGCCCCCCCCCAAAAAAAAAGCAGAAATGCCGTCCTGGGCGGCTGACCCAATTGTGACATTCAGAGATCCAATTAAAAATGGCAGAAAATTTCATGCAGTAACCCTGCAAAATGAATGACTTTCACACAGGGCTCCTGTAAAACGACTGCATTTTATCCAGAGACCCAGTCAAATGCACACCACTTTCACCCACGGAACCTAATGACCATGTCTTTCACACTGAGATCCTGCAACGTGACTGCCTTTTTCGCATCGCAATCATTTCAAATGACTGCGTCTTTCACACTGAGGTTTGGTGAAATGACCTTTCACACAGAGATCCTGTATGTTGACCGCCTTGTCTCATGACCACATCTTTCACACTGAGACCCTGAGAAATGACTTTACTTTTAATGCAGCGATCCTGTAAAATGGCTCCCTCTTTCATACGGAAACCCTCCAAAAAATGACCGGCCCTTTCACAGAGATCTGCAAAATAACTCAGCATTTTCGTTGACTCCTGATTTCAAATTCAGTTTTTAATTAACAAAAAAAAAACAAAAAAAAAAAACGCAGTGGCAGTTGAATACATGTAGCACTATAATGAGGTGAAAACCCAAACACAGACGACGTGTCCCTCAGTGATGAAAAGAAATTTGACATGACTGATTGAACGTGAATCACTTCAAAGATAATTTTCCCCTTTTTTCAGGTCTCCCACGATGGCCGGCGGTTTGTTTGTTGTCAGCAAGAGCTATTTCGCCTACTTGGGCACATATGACACAGGCATGGAGGTGTGGGGAGGAGAGAATCTGGAATTCTCCTTCCGGGTAAGAAAACAATTCACATTGTCTCACCTAATTTGAACAAAAAAAACATGACAAAAAAAATTTTTGTTTGTGTGCGTGTGCGTGTGCGTGTGCGTGTGTGTGTGTGTGTGTGTGTGTGTGTGTGTGTTTTGAAATAAGGAAACTAGCAGTCTGTCATGCAGTAATTGTTCAAGGGATTAAGTAATTACACATTTGCAATTGCTGGAGCATGTGAAAGCTGAAATGTCAAATGAAAAAAAAAAAACAAGAACGCGAAATCAAGTGGGGTGATATTTGAATGATGTGGAACACTTTTGAGCTTGAAAATGATGACCAGAGTGGGCATGAGCCCACAAGTTGCTTCCTGTTGCAATTCATTTACCTGTACTCTCAATTTGAAAAGAAAAAAAAAAAAGTACTGTTTCAGTCACTAATGTCTCAAAGGCGAGCTAGTGGCAGAAAAATTTCCTCAACACAAACAAATGACTGAATGTGGCACATTCCATTGAACCAGATTATATCTTTCTAACTTCAAATAACTTGATAAATACAGTGGTACCTCTACTTACGAACGTCTCTTCATACGAAATTTTCTAGTTACGAAACGTCTCAACAGGAAAATATTTCCTCTTGTTACGAGAGAAATTTTCAAGATACGAAAGGTAAAAATACAGTCTGAGCTGCGACTCGCAGGTCCGACTTTCCTGAACGCAACATACTTATAGCTGCTCTGCCATTGGTTGTGACCGACCATCATCCTGGCATCCCATTGGCTAAGAGGGACCTGTACCATACAAGTCTGTCATACGCCCCTCGGGCCATGAGGTGTTCCGATAGTTTTCCATAAATGTGAATCACCCAGAAAAAGTGTTCATCGATTGGGCGATCGCTCACTACGCTGATGGTTGCCTTGGACATTTTCGAAAGTTGACAAAAGCAAACGTCCTTGGATCCGTTTTTTAAAAAACGCCAGGCAAAAAAAAAAAAAAAAAAAACACTTCTGAGAGAGCGCATGAAATAAAGAGGGCAAAAAACGATGAGCATACAGTTAAAAGGTAAATGGCCATCATTTTTTTTCTTTACTCTAGTCTTTCTTTTTTTACATTATGCACAACTCTCATTGATTGCGCAATAATCGAATTGTAACCTGCATTTGTTACATATTTTGATGCAATTTTATGCTCGAGGAAACATTTATGTTAGAATTTTGGGGGGGCTTAGAACGGATTACGGCATTTACATGGAAAACGGGGCTCTACTTCCAAAATTTTCTAGTTAAGAAATTTCTTCCGGAACCAATTAATTTCGAAAGTAGAGCCACCATTGTAACTACAAAAAAAAAACTGTACTACCTAACTAAAAGATACAACCATATTTGATGTAGGTAAACAACTTTGTGTACTTTTGTTAACAAGTAGAAAAAATATATATATCGTAGAGAGAGAGTACATTGAGAACAAATCTAAATTGCGTGATTCATTTGTGATTAATCGCGAGTTAACTGGAAATCACGCGATTATGATTCATGTCCTTCAGGTGAGCTGCAGCAGATTAACAATATTTTTGTTCCTGGTGAAAACGATTTGCGTTTTGGGTTACGCGCGCGGTAATGGAACCCGCTTTGTTTCCTTTCAGATCTGGCAGTGCGGCGGCAGCCTGGAGATCCACCCGTGCTCCCACGTGGGCCACGTCTACCCCAAGTCCCCGCCATACTCGCGCAAGACGGCGCTGGCCAACAGCGTGCGCACCGTCGAAGTTTGGATGGACCACCAAAAGGAATTTTACTACAACCGCAACCGCCATGCCCGAAAGGTGAGTCAGTTGCTAGCCGACATCACCCGGTGCTGCCGTTATCACCGGGTGTCATTTGTCGGTCCGCCGGGGCGTCGGCCGTGTAATCAAGCTCGCGCGGCGAGGATCAAGTGACGCTTGCGCACCTCCCGTGCCAAGCCACGGTCAACAATCGGATGTTTTTGAGAGCTCGAAAGCTCCAATTCAGTTTGCGAGGGTGACAGCAGGCAGCAAACCCACCACCTCTTTCACACCGACATTTTGCAAAATGACCCCATTCGCTATCACATTCTCCACTTTTTACATTGAGGTACTACCAAATACTTTCACATAGAGGACATGACACATGGATGACCTTCAAACACAGAGAAGCTTACAAAATTAAATTAAGAGATCCCGCAAAACGAATGCCTTCCAACACGAGCACTCGTTGTGTTTCAGGAAAGTTTTGGAGACGTGTCGGAACGCCATCAACTGCGGAAGAAGCTGGGCTGTAAAAACTTCCAGTGGTACCTGGACAATATTTACCCTGAGTTCTATGTCCCCAGAGATCAGCCGGGATTTTTCGGAAATGTGAGAAATGTCATTCACTTAAAAAAAAAAAAAAAAAAAATTATTCCGTGTAATTATTTTTGGGAAAAAAAATTGAATTTTTGTGTTTATTTTTTAGCTGGAAAGTGCGGGAGAGGTTGGTTTTTGTTTGGACTACAACTCTGAAAGCAAGAACAAAAGAGTGATTTTGTATCATTGCCATGGAATGGGCAATAACCAGGTTGGTAAAAAACACAAAGGGGATTTTTTTTTGTAATTTACATTTAAAAAATCTTTTGGATTTCCTTTTCTTCAATTTCCTGCATTTATTTAGATTTTCTTTTGGTCATTTTTCTCCCTTTTTCTTTCTTTATCTTTTTTCTTCTTTGTCTTTGTTTTTTTGTGTGTTGTTACTTCCTTTTTGTTCTTTTTAAATTTTTTTTTTTTTTAATTTATTTGGGATGTTTTTTTTTGGGGGGGTGGTCCTTTTCTCTCCTTCCTCCTTTTCATTTTCCTTTTTCTGTCTTTTCTTGGTTTTCCCTAAAAAATACATAGGGATACGATCTAAAAAAAAAAAAAAAAAAAAAAGCATGTTAAATTTTTATTAGATTTGAATGGTTCAGCCCTAGCTTGAAATGTCTTGACAAGCAGTTTACTCGGCTGTGGGCCCTCATACGAAGTTGCTGTGCCGCAGTTCTTCGAGTACTCGTCGGACGGCGCCCTCCATTACAGCATGGGCACCACCTGCTTGGAAGGTGACAACATCAGCACCTACCTGACGGTGCGGCCGTGCGCCAATCCCACCAAACCCGTACTCGCGCAGCAGAAGTTCGATCTCAGGGAGGTATGTACCGGGTTGCGGCATCTTCGCTTTTTCACATGTCTGCGGTGGATGGAATGTTATAGGTCACATGAAGGGTGGAAAACATTTTTTTCCCCCAAAATCTGACATTTGAACAGGGCTGTGTAGAATTTCTTTCCAGCGCACGAGTGGAGTCAAATGTCTTGTGGTCGCTTTGTAGGACGGCAGCCTGCTGCACGTGGACAGCCTGAAGTGCGTGGAAGCACTCGACCAGACGGATGACGATATTCCCGCACCGTCCCTGCGGCCGTGCTCGGGTAGCCCGCGCCAGAAGTGGACCTTTGTCTCCATGTGATGCTACAGTTCAAATTCACCTTTTGATACATCACAGCTTTTGGGTTGTTTTTTTAATTTTTATATATATTTTTTCATGAGTACAGCTGGATTTTATGGACCATGGCCGGTTGGTTGGGATCAGTGCTTTCTGAAGGTTTTTTTTTAAAATTTATTTTATTTTATTTTATTTTTTTAAGCAGCCTTGTGGATTTTGGCGGGTTTTTTTTCTCATGAAAAGGAGGCTCGATGAAGAGTATTTATAGTTCGTCCTGTAGAGGGCGCCCAAGGTCCTTCCTTTGACTCCCATTGGACAAACTGGGGATCAACCGGAGGAATTTTCACACTGAAAGGGAAAAAATGTTTTTTTTTCCCCACCTTGACCTTTTGTGGCATGAGGCTTCAAAAGACTAAAAAAAAAAAAAAAAAAAAGCAATGTTTTAAAACATTTTTAAAATCTCTTTTTAAGTCTTTCTCTAATTTTTTTATGTTTTGTGTTTATTTTTTTCTTTCCTCTGTTCTGCCTTTTATTGGCTTCGTTTTTTTACTTGGCTTTTTTCCTTTTCCTTTTCTTTGCTGTGTTTGCTGAATTTTGCTCTTTTATTCTAAATCTGCAGTTAAGTAAAATATTATCAACTCATTCAATGTCAGCCATTTTCAAAGCAGTGTTCCCCATCGCGAACAATTTTAGCAGAATTTGGACTCCTCATTCAAGGTCCTCAGAATTATGTGTTCTTTGACGATATAAGTTAACATCCTACCAAAAGAAAGACTCTCTCATCTTTCACCAAACACCCCCAAAATTTTTTTCTAACTTTTTTTCCCTGTTCTTTAGTAAACAGCACCAGTACATAACTTGGTTTCTCCAAAAACACCAATACCAAAAAGTGGGGAAAATTAATTTTGTCCGCGAGGGCGGTTTTGTTGACAAAAAAAAAAAAAAAATACATGTGGAGCATCTGAAGCTGTGGTCACTCGTGCAACTGGACACCCTGAGGCTACGCCGCCGGTCCCGCTCTGAAAGGAGGCCGACGGCGTCTTTGGTATGCCGCGACAGCAGATGGCAGCCTGATAGATATTTTTCACGCTCCTCCCTCCCTCAAAAAATATTTCAACATGGCCTCCTTTAGTACGAGATTTTATGTTTACAATGCATCCATTTTTGGGGCGACGCTATCCAAGGAGATAACGGAGAGGAGGCTCATGGAAGGAGTTTCGATGACTTTCTCATCGGCATTCATCATCTCAAGTCTTGGAGGAACTCGCATATGTTGCACTTTGCTATTTTTGTTGCAATTGATTGTGAATGTTAAGTCCGCAGAGGCGGTGAGATTAATCAGGGCAGCACAAATGTTTGACCCATGAAGCACAACCATGAAGCACTGAAATAATGTTCGATTTCCAGTGTAATTGCTCAGTCGAAAAAGATGAAATGCCAGGTAGGCAACTTCCTGCAAGAAAATTAAAGTGACATTATACATTTATTTTTTTACATATTATATGACTACTATATATACTAGATGCTACCTTTTTGGTTGTTAAAAAAAATTACAAATGATAAGTAATTGCTGGACTATATCATGTCAAGAACAATGGTGGCCTTCAGTGTTAACTGTGAGAAGAAAAATCGATTGAATGTGTTTTTGGTACCTGATATCTGGTATATACAGAATCTCAACCTGTATGTGTGGCTTGTAGTACAGCAAGTTCAAATGGGAGATGCAATTAAAAAAGTGTCATTGTTTCAAAATGTAGCCTATATCGTCACTCGACTCCTTCCTTCAATTCCGCCCAAGATGGCGCCGTTCGGCTGCTCCCAATGAGTAACCCACCATTCATCCTCCTTGGCAGCCCCTTTTCTTTTAATCTTTTGGGCGCATCCATGTGAAGCGCATTGAAAAAAAAATAACATGTCGGGATTCAGTCAGCGCGCCGCAGAACGGCCTCGCTTGTGATGCGGGGTGGCAGAACACACCGCGCCCGTCTCCCATAGCACATATGTGTCTTTAATGATAATGCAAAACAAGGCTCCCCCATGGGTTGAGTCTTTGGAAATGCTCAGGCTTCAGTTGTCAGGGCGACACACACACACACACACACACACACACACACACACACACACACACACACACACACACACACACACACACACACACACACACACACACAGCGACTGACACACACACACACACACACACACACACACACACACACACACACACACACACACACACACAGCGACTGGGCCATTTCTCCACTGCATGTCGCTTCACTTTATGTAATCCTCAATACCCAGAGCAGTTCAGGAGCTGCGGCTGCATACATTAGATGACACACTTTCACTTCCACGAGGGAGCTGGGAGAATGCGCGCTTCCAAATATGCCAATCCCAGATTCCCATCAACAACGTGGTGGTTCTTCAGATCACGTTGGCCTACAAGCTACTATGGACGTTTACCAGAACGGCACCATCGCGTGTGAATGCGGTGATCCTGGGAGACCGTGTCCGAAGACATCGAAATAAGATATTGATTTGTTTACAGGATGTGCAACCTCCCCGCAAAAAAAAAAAAAAAAAAAAAAATCAGTGATGCCCCCCGCCCTCCCATACAAATCTCAGAAATGACATGATCTTATCGGCATCCAACCAAGAGGCTGGTAAAATGGACGTTACAAAGCGGTCTTCTAGCATCATGCTAACGAGAGGTTAGCAACGATTTCATAGAACAACATACAACTTATTAAAGATATGAAGCTGTCTTCATACTAGCATCCTCTGCTTTTTTTTCTCACCATTCTCCAAGACACTCACCCGCACCCTGCATCTTTTCTACAGCGGGTAACTCCACAAGGGGGCGCAAATTCCCCATGCGAACACCCGTGATCTCTAGGTGGGATTTTTTTTTTTATAAATTTCATGGGTACAGGTACTTTGTCGCCCACACTGGAAATACCACTGAACTGTTCGGCCAGAAACTGACAGTGCCTCCTTCCCTCCCTCAACTTTGGCTAAATAAAAAGCTCTCATACGATTGTGACAATCACATAAATATGACATCTTAATTTGAAACAAGGACCTGCATGGCCGACAGAATGTAATTCCGTGTGAATTACGTCTCCATGCTCTCATATGCCTCTTAAAATGCAAGTTCTGTATACTGACAAAGTCTATAACTATGCCAGTGTGCATTATTAATGTAAAAAAAAAACATATTGGTCATTCCTTACTTTTTTTTATGATGCTACCAGTGTTGTCACGGTGTTTCCTAAATGATCGTTTCCGGTTATGTTTTCCTGTTCCTGTTCCGGTCCGTTTTCGGGGTTGTCTCCCAATGTCGCGCCAGTTTCACTGCAATCTTAAATCATTTCAGTATCTGATGTTTTGATGATATTCTACTTACTATTTTTGCTATTATGGTTCTTCCCTGATGCCATTTTGTCTTCTTTTGAAAATCATACCATACATGACGTTCCCCCAGATAATTCCTGGCTGTTGTCTTCACACCTTCTCCCAGGTGCCATCAACAGGATTTCTCACCTTGAAACGCCCCGAATTCACCATGCTAAATACTTTGACTCCTGCATTTGCCAAATTGAATTCCATCCTCTCTCGAGAGGGTCACCCCCCCAAACACGTCTTGGTGTAGCGGTGCAGGTCAAATGCTTGTCTGAGTGTGTGAATTAAACGGCTCATCACTCCGCCGAGGCCTCTCTCCTCCCTTCCTCCTCGTGGTCCTCCACACACTCCACGAAGACCAATTACTGTAAAACCTGGCGGATTTCTGAATATGTAACCATTTTTTTAAAGGCTCTCCAGACAGAAAATTAATGACCACGCTCGAGTAATCCATTTTTTTAGTCGGCGCCATGTGTGAGGGTTAGGAAAATCAGAGTCTTGCATAAATCTTTGCTGATGTGATGATAATGCGCTCGGTCAGACTGGCAAAATAAAACAAATCGCCTGGCGATGGAAATGTGACGTAACGCACGCGCGCACACTTAATCATTCCGACCAATGCTTTGCTCAAGTATGTTTAGCATACTTATTCTTTCTTTTTGTGGGGGTGGGTGGGTGTGAGGGTGTGCCACAGAGCAAAGTCGCTGACCTTTTGCCATGGAGCGGGCTCAGCGTGGAGGTGTTCAGGAAATGACTTGGGGGTGGAGAAGCAGGAGACCAGATGATGTGCTAATTGATGGTGCTAGTTACACACGCCACCTCAACACCCCTAAGGTGGATCTCAGCGGTGAGATCCTGTCCTGTCCGCATGTGGGAGCTCCTATTGTAAACAAATCAATTGTCCCCCAATTTGTGATTTACATGCTGCTTCCTGGGCAAATATTTCCGAAACGTGTCACTATTTTTCAAGAAAATAGAAGGACACTTTAAGAATCTTCCTAATTATAAAGATCATAACATTACGATCCGGCCATGCTAGTGTAAACATGGTACAGTATTCTGATGAATATTATGTTTGAATTGAGCAGCAAAATCCACGCGTTTTTATCTATTTTAGGGGATGGCCATTTTCCCAGTTGCTGTCGACTGAAAATGACATATTTTCCCAATGGAACAACCAATCATGGCTCACCAGTTTTCTGAATTTGGTCGTGTGACATTCACAACCTCAGCCATGATTGGTCATTTCCTGAGCCTTGAGTAACTGTGATGACAGCAAGTGGCAAAATGGCCCGGGCCATTTTCTTCTTCACTTTATCTTCACAAGGGTCGCGGGCATGCTGGAGCCTCAGCCAGCTGTCCTCGGGCAGTAGACGGGGGCACCCTGAACCGGTTGGCAGACAATCGCAGGGCACACATAGACAAACAACGGTTTGTGCTCACAATCACACAATTTAGAGTACCCAATCAACCTGCCATGCATGTTTTTGGAATGTGGGAGTAAAACAGAGCACCCAGAGAAAACCCATGCAGGCACGGGAAGAACATGCAAACTCCACATAGGAAGGCCGGAGTCGGGATCGAACCCATAACCTCTGCACTGTGAGGTCGATGCGCTAACCACTGGCCCACCGGGCCATCCTGCACAGAATATATTATTGTAAAAAGAAATTCTATT